TTCAAGTACTTACTTCTTGCGCTCATTTTGCTCTATGTTTTGATGAATTTTGTTTGAGAAGTTTGTTGATGTTCTTGATCTGAGTTTTACTTTTAGAATAATTGCATATTGATTACCAAAATTCAGTGAAACTTTTCCATGGAGAGGATTTTAGATGCTTTCCACTTCTCTAGATTAGAGTTTACCCAGGATTATTTAATGTGAAAAACCTAATAATTTCCATAACCATTCTCATGAGAGAGACAAGGTAAGAAGAATTTCAAAAAGCCTATTACAGTCAAGGAATTTTTTGAAATTGTACAAGAAATGCAGTAACAGCATTGTTTACTGTTGATTAGTTTGCAACATGGTTTCAACTACTTTCTAGTATCTCTGTAATTAGTTTTCTCCACTACACCATGTAATTAGGGACCGATACGAATTTTTTTAATTTGGGGATAATTTTACATTATGTATGCAACATGGTTTTTTATTATTATTTATTTTTGGGTAGCAGTTAAGTAGTTTGAACCTGATAGCTTTGCTTTATTATCAATCAAAAGTTTATGAAGAGCTTCTAACCAAGTTAACTTTTTTATTTGTTTTGCAGGATATGGATACCTCTAATCCTGCAGTTTTTGTCAATGCAGAGCTTCTGCGATTGTATGTTGGAAGGCGGGTTCGGGCACTGATTCAGGTTGTGCGAACCGAGGGTGGAACTGTCATTGGAAAATCTACTGATGAAAACCAGCTAGTTGTAAAGGGCTCCCCACCCTTTCCTCTTACAAAATTTGTTGAGGTCATAGGCATTGCTGATGGTGAAAAATCCATCCATGCTGACATATGGAACAACTTTGGAGAGACAATTGGTATGCCTTCCCCCCCAACCCTTTTCCAATTCCTACCTAATAGTGGTTCACAGTAATTATATAATTTTTAATATTCGAAGGTTATTTTGCTTGGATTGGGAGGGAGGAGCTGAATCTATATAAATGACTTCAGTTTATTGTTTTCTGGAAGTATCAAAAGTTGCCGGGAAACAGTTTAGTTTATTGACACTTTGAGGATCTCCAAGATACATTAATGTCCATTAAATTTTTAAGAGAGACACTGAAGCTTAAACCGCATCATCAACATAACCATTGAAAGCGAGTTCCCGTTAAATCACAGGATGTGCTAGTTGTTCAAACTTGTTTGCATGAAACTTCTTTGTAATGCTTGCAGTACTTTAGTGTCCCAAAAGCTGTTTTATTGAATACAGGTGTTCTATAATTAGAAACCAATAAGAACTGTATTCCATAGTAGTTAAAATCATTAAGAAATTGAGAATCTAACTAACCCTTCTTCGGTTCTTATGTTCTGCTTGTCCCTTCACATATCTTCTTGTGTGTTAGCGTTCAACTTATTGGTGGCAAATTCTATTTGACAGTGCTTTTAGTGTTTGGTAGTTTGAAAATTTTTACATACTCTTTTGCTGGTTCTGATATACTTCCATATTTTCTTAACCTGTTGACAGACACAACTACTTACAATCAGCTCTGTCAGCTTGCAAACGGGGATTTTAAACACTTGTTCATTTGAGTTGCAACAAGATTGCAGCGCAAACGCGAAAGTGCTTACAAGTTACATCCTCATGGGGTTTTGAACAGAAAGTGCTTGCATTTTAAACACTTGTTATGTAGTTTTAATGCTGTCTCTGGCAATTTCTCGAATTTTATGGTAGTGAAGTGATTAAGATCTTAGTTATTTGACATATGCACAAGTCTCAAATATTTAACCCTTTTTGAATGAACCTGCAGTCTATTTTCACTCGAGGCCTTAACTTCATGTAATCTATCTATCATCCACGAGATATGCTGTGTCGAATTTTTTTTTCTTTTCATGTTTAGCTGATTTAATATTTTGACCCTAATTGCTTCGACTTCATTTACCGCCATGCCTTAAATTGCAATAATCTGAATACCAAAATGGTAGGAAAAGGTAGTTTGTGGAAATGTCGAAGAATGTAACGATACCACATTGAGCCACTCGATAAAATAAAATACAATATATAAGTGAATGGTTTCACTATTAATAATATGGAGATCTTTTGTGATAAAGACGTCAATATATTTACAAGCATTGATTCCTTGGGCCAAATATTCTGTTCACCATACCTATGATTTAATGGCAGATGTGAGTTAAGCTAGTTGACCAAGGTAGTGTGCCTGTCTTTCTTACATCCACTCCTTGTACGTCAAAATAGTTTATAATACATAAAAAATCTAAAGGCCCGTAGGCCCATAAGTCGTCCTGGGCCAAAGCCCATAGTTACAGCCCAGGATTAAAGATTACGAAGCCCAAGTACATGTCGAAACTCTCTCTATGTCAGAAATTCGCAAGACGACTCAAATGCACAAGAAGCGATTCCTTTTCGTTCGTTGGGTTCGAGCTAAGTACAGCTCCGAGCACTGAATTAGGGTTCCGATATTGAACAAATTATTCCTTAGTTGAGAAATTATTCGCAGCACCTGACTTAGGTACTTCCTCTCTATCAAACTGTACATTGTTTTCAATTGGGTTATTGTTCTCAAAGATTTGATTTTTGCTTTTTCCCGTAGAAATATTCGTATTCCTGCTTTCGTTTTTATTTACTTGGGTAGTGTTATTTCTCTGTGGAAACAGTGCAAGTGCAAACGTTCTGGTTTATGTGTCAGAGAGAATCTTAAAGAAAAGATTTTTACCAGAAGAGGAACGACTCAAAACCATTCAAATGTCAGATGGGTTGGCTAGGTTTTGGGGAAATAGGGTGACTTTTGGGGTGGTTGGTTGGTATTCTTTTGAAAGTCCAGAGTTTGAGGCATTTAGTTGTTTTTAATTGGCTGGGATTGAGTTTTACCATTTTCTCAAGTTTCAATATAAAACATTTTCAATTTTCGAAGGAAGGGGATGGTAGAGTTCAACCATTCAATGCTTCTACGCGTGCATTGGCACTAATATGTTGGTTTACAGGGAGTTAGTCATATGTCAGCCTCTTAGGATTCAAAGATTGTCCGAAAAGATTAATAAGCTAGGTACCATGAATTTACTGCTTCATATGTGATGTATAATATGTTATCATTTCTATGATTTCAAATATATGTTGTTTGATTTCTTATTCATGTTTTTTTTTCCCTTTTCTTTCCTCCTCTTTGTGCATGAAACTCTCCAGATAGATAGTTAAACAATTACACCATCCATTTACTGTCGAATGTCGATATCTAGATATTCGAGAAATTCACTGCTTCTTTGTTTATTTCGCCTGCTGAGCATCATCACCCTCTTGATAATCATGCAGAATTCTTCTGTTGCCTGTCTCTGTTACTATTTTTACAATAAAATGACCCCTTAATTGAAATCATTGACTTTGCAAGTCCTTGAATCCATACCTCATGGCACAGATTCATTCGAAATTCTTAATCTGCAACTTCGTTTGGCCTCTCATGTTGTTTCCACCTTTCCGTATCTGTATTCTTTCTTCTATGAATGCTTCTGGCTACTGTGCTTTCTTCACAGTTGCCTTGCAAGCTTGTTTTTCTAGATATATAAGATGCCGAAAACAAGGGCGAATGCTTCTGGAGATGCATCTGAAAGACCATTAGAATCTGAAGAGCGGGTGGACCTTGATGGAGACAATGATCCTGAGGAAACAATAGAAGAAGAGGTCGAGTATGAAGAAGTAGAGGAAGAGGAGGAAGTGGAAGAGGTGGAAGAGGAAGAGGAAGAAGAAGAAGAGGAAGAAGAAGATCCAGAAGAGGGTGAGGAAGAGGGAGAAAACAAGGGAGCTGCTACAAAATCTAATGGACAGAAAAGCTCAGATGGTGATGAAGTGATGGCAGTTGCTGACGGAGAGGAGGAAGAAGAAAAAAAGAAGCATGCGGAGCTTCTTGCACGCCCTCCGCATGGATCAGAGGTGTATCTTGGTGGCATTCCTCATGATGCATCTGAAGAGGATTTGAGGGGATTTTGTGAATCTATTGGGGAAGTTACTGAGGTAATATATATTGTTGATTCTAAAGCTCTCTCTGCACCTTTTATATGCAGACGGACTAATCTATATATGTCAACAGGTTAGAATAATGAAGGGAAAAGATTCAGGGGAGGCCAAAGGTTATGCTTTTGTTACCTTCAGAAACAAGGAGTTGGCTTCTAAGGCCATTGAGGAACTGAATAATTCTGAGTTGAAGGTGAGCTCAACTAACTTTTGGTCACTTATCTTCCCCAATTATTGCTACTGTTAATTATCAACTCAGGGTTGTGGTTCTGCTAATTTACACATCCACTTACATTCGCGTCTTTCCTTTTGAGATCTATTACTTAAATCCTTTTTATGAAAACTGAGGTTTTAGTTTCATGTAACATTAACTTCTCTGCTGGCTCTTTTTCCAGGGAAAAAGGATTAAATGTTCTACATCTCAAGCAAAGCATCGGTTGTTTATTGGAAATGTTCCCAGAAATTGGGGAGAGGAGGATATGAAGAAGGCTGTAACAGATATTGGACCAGGAGTCATTTCTGTGGAACTGTTGAAGGTTAAAGATATATTCTATAATCTTCTATTTAGCTTATGTATTTTATGTTCTATTTTTCATTTTGGTTAACCTCTGTTTCCTATCATTTCCAAATTCACTATTGTGCTATTTTCTTGATGGATTTTCCTTGTATCTTGATGTAGTTCTCTTTTCGGTTGAATCTTCTTGATACAGGACCCACAGAACTCCAGCCGGAATCGTGGATTTGCTTTCATTGAGTATTATAATCATGCATGTGCAGAATATTCAAGACAAAAGATGTCAAGCCCAAAATTTAAGCTCGACACCAATGCTCCTACTGTGAGCTGGGCTGATCCTAAAAATACAGAATCCTCTGCTGCTTCTCAGGTTGGTTATTCATGCTTTTTGCTACACTCAGATAAGCTATTATATAGTTCTGCTCTGGCTCTCTTTTCCTTTTCTGTTGTTCATTTCTTATTTTTTACTGAGGGATGCAATGGATGTTGCCTAAGCATTTTATCACTGTTTCGAATTATCTTTCCCATCTGTTGGCTGTACTCATAATGTTTGTTTTTTTATTTTGTTTTGTTTTGTTTTTTTGTATCTGAGTACTCCATCCCATGATCTCCACCACATCAGACCTCGTACTTTCATGTTGCAACCTTACGTGTGTAAAATTGTTTGGCCTTTGAATTATTTCATGCACTTGTGGATGTTGGTCGAGTCATGACATCTTTGTTTTGATTGATACAGGTGAAAGCTGTGTATGTCAAGAATTTACCAAAAGACATTACTCAGGAGAGTCTAAAGGAGCTGTTTGAACGTCATGGAAAGATCACAAAGGTGGTTCTCCCCCCTGCAAAAGCGGGACATGAAAAGAGCAGATTTGGTTTTGTACACTTTGCGGAAAGGGCATGTGCAATGAAGGCATTGAAGAACACTGAAAAATATGAAATTGATGGTAACTTGCTCATGCTCTTTGTAGCTCTCCACTATCCTCTATAGTTAATCAGTTTTCAGGAGAAAATCTTAATTCATAATCTTCTCTGTTTCATAGGTCAAGTTTTGGAATGCTCTCTTGCAAAGCCACAAGCAGATCAGAAGTCTTCTGGATCATCAAATCATCAGAAGTCGCCCTTACTT